CTTTTTCCATTATATTTGTTTTAAACACCATTATATTCGGTGCTTTTTTTCATTATATTTGGTTTAAATACCATTATATTCGGTGCTTTTCTCATTATATTTGGTTTAAATACCATTATATTCGGTGCTTTTCCATTATATTTGGTTTAAATACCATTATATTCGGTGCCTTTTCCATTATATTTGGTTTAAATACCATTATATTCGGTTCTTTTCCCATTATATTGGGTTCTAACAACATTATATTCGGTGCTTTCTCCATTATATTCGGTCCAAACACTATTCTATTGGGTCCTTTTTCCATTATATTCGATTTATACATCATTATATTCGGTGCTTTTTGTCATTATATGCGGTTCAAACACCATTATAGCGGAACCCGCAGAGCGTAGCCCCATAATTATACAAAATAGTAGTAACCCATCAAGCCGAAAAAATTTGGATGTACGACCGTACGACCGTACAAGGTGCTACTTTTAACATGCGTGTTCAACTGTACCGCGGGCACGCCAACGCCACGGCTTTGTTCAGTAGTCCAGTGGTCAGTGCATTGGGCTCCGAGTCGGACGACTCAGGTTCTAGTCCTGGCCGGGGCAAGGCGTTGTGCCCTTGAGACGTGCAGGGAAAAAAAATGCGAGCTCCGCTTTTAGGCTTGGCTAAATATATATATTATTGGGTGCGTTCTTCATTCTACTCGGTGCTTTTGTCGTTATGATCGTCACCAATCTCTCGGAGGGGCCGTAGAATTTAGAGGAAGTCTGGGAAGGCTTGAAAAACAGCCAATGCCATTCCTCATTTTGACAGCCATTTTGACCAGCTTGAAATGGAGGTTTCTTTGAGTAAGGTTCATCTACAGAGTTTGGTAGCTCAATTTAGACGTGAACGGATCATTCCTTCCGCAATTTTGACTTTGACAGACGAGCAAATCGAGCGACTGGGTGTTTGCGGCTGCTTTGCAGAAACTTCGAAGAAAGCAGTGCCGGGATCTCCACTGGCGTTGGAAATGTAGCAACATCATGTGAAAGACCTTCAGCTGATGCAATCCGCCGGCTATTTAATCCTAGACGCTCTAGGACACAATCCAGGAATAGCAAAAAGCGACACGCACGTACCTGGAGTTTTCAATTTGTTTGCCTGGTAGACAAGTATCAGTGCAAAATCCCCACAGCCACCGAGAAGCAAACTTTGCAAAAGGCCGGCTTGTGAGTGAAGAAGATTAAACTCCAGTGAGATGATGACGAAACTTCTGTACATCATGAACTGATTTCAGATGAGAAAGATGAAGCGAGTGACGTGAAAGACTTTCCACAGTTCCGTGATGTAGGCGTAACCCTGTCTTCCAAAACGGCCGAGACTTAACTCCCGTCAAGTGTTCTTGGTCCACCAGGGAATTGAGATGCAATCTAGGAGGCCAGTCAAAGAACTATCTCCGACCAATTCAAAGAAATCTGTCCCCCAAATCTCTTATTCCTCAAACTTCTTGTGAAGTGAAGGAGAGATGCATAAGCTGCAAGAAGGAATTCCCAATGAGTGAGCTTTCGTACTCATTCTTTTTACATGTGCATTGCTAGTCTTAATAGTGATTCAGACTCAGAGGGGCAGACCTCTAAAGAAAGCCACACTCTATAAAGTAAAGTCGATGTTTTATCACTTGATAATCCTTTGCAACTGCAGAATACTCAAGCTGTAGGCGAGCAGGATTTCACCCCTGTAGAGTCCAGTCAAACCAGTGTTAAAGATGAGAGGATCCTATTGACACTGTAACAACCTTTTGTGGGCAAACAATATTCAAAATCCTCTGGAGATTCTGCGTTGCATGTTAAAATACATTGTCACTGGTGAGGCCTTGGTGCTTGAATCAAAAAGCGAAACCTTGGAGGGGGAACAAATCACATCTATGTGGATAGAATGAACTTACTTGAAACCACATTTGAAGAAGGAGCACTCGAAAACCTTCGCTTAACTTTAGAAGTTTCATTCAATGGTGAGGTAAGTTTGCTTAAAATTTTGGTTACATTTACAACTTTCTCCTCTTTTCTCCTAAAGTCAAAAGCCTGACCCTGTAAGCATCAAAATTAAGTGTGGCAAAATTTCTCCATTTAAAATAACCATGTAATCAGTGAAAGGTAATAAGAATTGATGACATGAGCATCCATCCATTCTCTTTAGATTTTTATAATGTTGTTACATTACTTCTAGGAGAAAGGTGTGAGGGCAAGAAAGGGTAATTTGCATTGGGAATTAAGTGGTTCAGGCTTCTGCTTTCACCTCTCTTTGACAAAATCTGAGTCTACTAATTACTTTTTGGGTTTAATTAATTGTTTATTTATTCATCTCCATATTTATTCAATTCCAGGTTGCTTGTGATTATGGAGGGCCATGAAGGGAATTCTTTTGTCTGATACTTGCAGAGATAAAAGAGAAGTATTTTGACAATAGCTTTCAATAGCTTTCAAACTTCTTGCAGATGATTACTTTATAGTTGGTGTGATTCTGAGTAAGTAAAAATCTCAAGCAGTTTTTATTAAGTCAACTTTTCTGAAATTGCTATCCATGATAATAAATTGATTTGTGCACTTTTCTTGGTCATCTGTTATGACACTACTTGGAAGTAGAGAACATGATAAGACTTGTAATCCACCAAACATTTTTACTCGCTTGTGTTTGGTCTATACATGTCACAGTTAGAGTTGACATGAATTGCTTGTTAGTCCAAGTTTTGGAAGAATGGACATACACAATAAGTAAATGCTACAACTTTTTTGCAGGCTTAAGCATTGTTCAGAATGGGAAGATTCCCCATTTTTTTTTCTGAACAGATCAAATGGATGAGATATTTCAGGATGACTCATTATCATCAGCAGTTACTAACCTGCAAAAGGGGTTGGCCAAGCTAGAAATATTGTAGATAAAAGTTATATCTTTTCAAACTCTGAACCATACCTCATCTTCTCTTCTTAAATAGAGCTATATCTGTGGGAATGAGACTAGAGATATCTCCTGACTCATTCAAATACTTTATTGTTTGACAACATCATTTAAGAACCAGAAGTTTTTAGGGCAATCAGGCAGGAAATGTTTTGATATAATTGTGATATCACAGCAACGGTAATAAGACACTAACTGACACCACATTCAAAAAATCTCCAAGCATCAAGTGCTACAGTTTTATAAAATAGTATAACTTCCTCTTATTCAGGGAAAATCTGTACAAATTGCTCTTCCCTTTGTTGAGGAGAAAATTATTTTGACAAGTCTACTGACAGTTTCCTGTCTTTCACCATATTTTCAGACCCAAAACAGCAGCCACTCTTACCATTGGGAAATTGACAAAACCTTTTGAAGCAGTATTCTCTGAAGATGGATCAAATGGAAGATGTTATGAAGGAGTCATTTATGGTGCATTTAGCAGGTACCTGTGAGAAATAATAAATAAGTGTGCAAACAAATCAATGCATTAGTGGCCATTTCCCAACTACTGTTAATCTCTTTTTGTGAGGAGGTGTGATGTGCAACCTTTCACATGCATATCAAAGTCTGTACTCCAAACCTAATTGTCTTGATAAGGAAAGTAGAGGCATTTTAGTGGGGGTGGTGACCATCATGTAACTTCATCACAAAATATTACTGGTAATAGTCTCTCTTGTATACACAAGCACACACATATTATGTTCAATACACCCTATTAACAGAATAAGTGGCTCCAAATTAAAGAAATATTTTTTTAAATAATCAATAAGAGTTCCCATAAACTTGGTCCATGCTGTTGGTCTTTTAGTCTGACTTCATGTACCCAGATCCAGCACACAACTGTACAGCACATCTAGAAGGACTACTTGTCAACAATAGGAGTAAGGGTTAATTTGTTTTCTTCATATCTGATTATTTTATTATTCAGTGAAACTCATATATTCTCTTTGTTTGCCTGTTTAAACAGGTGGGAGATGAAAAGGAGTATCTTTGGTTGATTATTTTGTGGTTAACTACAGGGTGAGATGAAGAAACTCTCTTGAGATTTAAGCTGCATCCCACACTAGTATTTACTGAAGTTGATAATTCATTCTTACCACGAGCAAACACTTGCATAAATGCCATTACTTTTCCCACACCATCACTTAATATCTCTCTTCAATCTGACAAGCTATTTGATTTCTGGGACTGTGCCTTCTTGAATGGCGACTTTGGTAACCATTAATATTTACTGCCAGTAATTATGGCTAGTTCTCTTTTTAAAAAAGGAGTTTACAGTTTGTTTTGAGCTAAGTGGTTGCAGAGGGCTTTTACGTTTTTCCTTTGCTAGACCTCTTTTTTGAATGGGTCCTTTAATATGATACCTGTTGTAATTTCCACTAGATTCAGTTACTGTTGTGTAGATAAATATGAATGTTATCAAGTTAAAAATGGAAGAGTATATATAACATTTGACAAGAAAGATTCAGCACAGAACTGTAATTCTGATCAGTTAATTGTCATACTTATATCAGTTTGCTATATCTTCATTTATATCAATAGGTTTTTGATAATGAAGTTTCATTGTTTGTCAGAAGATATATTAAATTGAAGGTTGTTACAGTTTCAGTGACTACCTTTTTACTTTTTCATCCCCCACCCTCAAAGTTTAAAATCCTTCTCCTTCTCCTACTGTATTTCTTGAAGTGATTTGTGTACGTCCTTCTAAGTAGCCACTGAATTTTTAACAATGTGAAGGGCTTTTGGATTCAAATTGATTCTAAAGTTAGATTGACGATTGACGATGCAAGTGCTAAAAGGCTAATCTGGCATGCACTGGTTTGTGCAGCTGTGACAGCAACTTCTAAAAGCCATAAATATTTACAACGGTGTCACTAACGACTAGAACTGGTCGACTAAGGATT